TCTTATGACCTCATTTAACCTTCCTTCCTTCCTTCCTTTAATGTCCCATCTCCAAATACAGCCACACTGGGGTTTAGGGCTTCAATATATTAATGTGGGGGAGGGAACACAAACATGCAGTCCAAAACACCAACTAACTAATACATATGGTCACCCCAGTTACCAGGTAAATTCAGGATGAACTATGTGTGGGACCTGGTGGCATCAAGTCCTCTTACTTGAGGTCTAGTTATGGTCAATCTTGAGAACATGTAATGAGTTGTATCTGCTGAGCTACACAAAAGGGTGAAATTTCTCTCTCTGGAATCTCTTAGCAGATTGCCTGTGATGTGCATCGCATTCTAGTACAATGCTTATTCAGTGATAGAACTGTTTTTCTTCTACCTTTGTGGAGACATTTTCTGGATTGGCAGAAGATTTGGTTCTATTTTTTCTCAGCTACTGAAAGTACCTGAAAAGAGCCCTCTTCATAGTTGAGGAGAGGGGGCAAAGGGGGCGGGAAAATAGGTACCATCACTGTACCCTCTATTTCAAAGAGGGTCAAAGGAAGGTTTCAAGATACAAAAGGGCCTGGGAGTATAGGGAAGCCACTGGAAAGCCAGGATTGCGGTTCTTACCAACCTTGTCTTCTCCTCAGTTCTCCTCTACTTTTCCTGTATTTATCCATTTCTGCATTTTTCATTAGTCACAAGGGTGGTCCCTGGAGCCAGCAGAAGGAAAAGCACAATCCCAGCCTCCCAGTGCTGAGGTTGGCGTGATAGCTTGGCTAAGAGAGTGGGTGCTTGAATCGAATACACCCAGCCTCTCTGAGCCTCAATTCTTCCCCTACAAAAGGTATAGTAATGATAGTACCGAGATCACCAGGTTGTCGTGAGAATTACATACGGTAATGTGGGTCAAGAGCATAGCACAGTACGTGCACACAGAAGATTTTGGTTTTAATTGTATTTTCCCCGAGTGGTCATGGAGGTCGCAGCAGGCAGCAGTGGCCGAATGTTGGCTCCAGTGTTTAGCCTAATTGGCAAGCAAGCAACTTCCAACTCAGTGTCTGTAAGAGCATATGGAAGTGTCATGAAGAGTGAAGACTATGCTCTCCTGAGTTCTGTCGACCGGGGTGACTATCCACTGCCCAGTGTGGCCCACGGCAAGAACTTCTGCCAGCCAGAAGTCCTTCAAAGGGAAGAAGGCTCCCTGGAGCAGCCTCTCCATTGATGAAAAAGTTGCACTACACCACATTCAGTTCAACGAGAGCTCTGCTGAAACAAACAGGAGCATGAACAAGTGGAAGATGGCTGTGGGCGCCACCACGTTCTTCATCAGCTTCACCACTCTCATTCTGATCTGGGAGAAACACTATGTGTACCATCCATGGCGCACACCTCTGACGAGGAGTGGGTGGCCAAGCAGACCAAGAGGATGCTTGATATGAAGGTCAGCCCGATCCAGGGCTTCTCAGCCAAGTGCGACTACAACAAGAACAAATGGAAGAAAGAGGAGCCCGCCACTCACCCATCTGAGTCCTGCCTGTTCTGCCACCTCCATGCAGGAACCTGTTACGTTGCAGTATCGATGCTAATAAATGAGCAGTTTATGTAAAAAAAATATTTTCCCAAGACTACACTACACTGCCTCCATCCGCCCCTCACGCGCCCCAACCAACTAAGTGTCCCAGCACTTTTCTTCTGGGATCTGAAACAAGGCCAGTAAAGCACAAAATTCTTATTCTAGTGGTTCCAAATTCTTTGCTCATGCAAACTGAGGATTTTTGTTTTTGTTTTTTTGTGGCAGGAAACAGATCCAGCTGTGACAGGGATGTGGGGAAAGCAGCATTCTGGTGGGGGCGGGCACATTTTCTGGAGAGCAATTTTGTATTGTAGATCTACCTCTTGGAATCTATCTTAAGAAAACAACCATTTATACAGAGACTTACATACAAGAATCCCACTGAAACTTTATGTATAATAGGAAAAAAATTGAGAAAAATATAAGTGTTGAACCAATGCATTAAAACGCATCATGTATGTATCCATTTGATAGGATGTTTTTGAAGTTTTAGACAGAGGTAAAGCCCAAACTTCAGATGAAAATTATTTCAGGAAAAACACTAATGCTAAACTTGAAAAACCTTACTCATTCATATGATTGTTCTACATTTATTGTATTATTCCTACAAACCTAAAACCACAAAAGTATTCCAAAATGCTGACATTAGTCAATGCTGAACGATAGGACCCAAGCAATTTTCATTTTTTTCCCCCATTTTTTCAATTGTCTTCAACTGCCTTGTAGAAGTTGAATATCTGAATCCCAGAACCTCCCTACCAACCTGAGGACAAGGGGGAGAAAATCTGGATGCTGAAAAGAAACTCAGACACGTAACACTGGCTCAGTTTTATTATCAGTGGTAACCAGTATTTAAGCAACAATGAAAACAGGTGAGTAAAGGCAAACAATTATGCCCCCCAAACAAAGGAGCAACTACTGCCAAAATCATGCCCCTAGGGAAGGTCACACTGCCTAAAATGGGACTCTCTTGTGGACTCAGCCCCTTGTTTCAGGCCAAGGCTTAGCAAAAAAGAGGGGCACAAAGTGCTGCATGGTCTGCACTACCATGGAAAGCTGGTTGAGCAAAGAGGCAGTGGAAATTTGCAGGAGGGCAGAGTCTTCGGCAGTTACTTTGCTAAAAGCGAGGGGGAAAGGAAGTAACTTTAGATTTGATTAAGTCCCAGCCCTCCTCAGTCCAATCCCCGCCCCAAGGTTACTCCTTCAGGTCTCCCTCAGAGCAACCCCTGAGGCTGCGACAGACCGTGTGCCCCTTGTGCCTCCTTAGACCAGGCCTCGGGTGTCTGCGTATCTCCAAGAGTGTCCCTCAGGCAGAGATTAGCCCAGGTTCCCGCCTGCTCCCACAAGCCCCTTCTAGAACTTACATCAGCAGGTCACGGCCAGTCACTGTGAGCTCCGTCTGAACGGCCCCGTGGAAGAGTTCGGCACCCAGGGTCAGGTACTGGCGGGCCACCTCCGCATCCATGTGACACAGGAAAGGCACCGTAAGGGTGCTGGTGGAGATTCGGTTAAGGCACCATCTACGCGGACTTTATGGCTGAGGCTCCCCTGCCCACCGGAGGCCTGCTTTCCCCCAGAGCGCCCCTCCGGGCCCCCCAAGACCACCCTGGCCGCTGCTTCAGGAAATCTGCATCACAACCCCCCTGTGTCCTCCAGCCACCGGCCCTCCCCGCATCCCCTTCTGTGCCCCTGCAAGTCCCCCGCTCACACTCCCTGAAACCCCTCCTACCCATCCTCCTGCCCCCCTCCCCCTCCTGCCTATCCCCCCCAACCCTCCCGATCCTGGGGTCTCCTTGGAAAGGATACAACTCCGACAGTTGGTTTCCTGAGGCTTCGCCGGAGGCCAAAGCCAAGGCTGAAGCCTCTTCACCCTGCCTTGGGGAAAACGATGCCCCCTCGACCTGGGGAGCTCCTCCAGCCACTGTGCCCTCGGCTGCGGTGCCGCCCCAGCCTCCAGGTTCTCCGGGGCTTCCAGGGCCAGTGGGCGCTCCAGCACCACCCTCTGCACCGCCCGCGCTGCCATCTGGGGCCTGCATGGCTGGTGGGCCCGCCTCCTTAGAGCCCACGCCGGCGACACTGAGGCTCCCTCAGGAAGCTCCGCCCCTCCGCGCTCAAGGCTGCTGGGGATGCCCAGGGCGCCTGTGCAGACAGACCTCGGGTATGGCTCCTGGCATGTGATTGGTTCCCGCCAAGTCGGCCCTGCCGCCCTCAGGTCGTCAGGGAGACCCTGTCGGCGCGGGAGAGCCCGCTCCCTCACGAAGCCCCGCCCCTAGTACACGATGCAACTCGGTTTTCCCAGTGCGCCTGTGCAAACAGGCTCCTCCCATCCTGGATGGAGAGGTTGGAGTGGAAGCGCGTGGTTGGGGGAAGGTGGAGTGAGTCTAGACAAAGAGGCACAGATAAAAGGGGCAAATGTGGCAGGGGGAATAGGGGGTCAAGGCATGGCCGATTTAGCCTTGTGGGGACACTCGACACCATGGTTAGGACTTGGAGAGGTGTGCACTGAGGGAAACAGACTGTCAATGTTCCTGTGGCCCCTCTGCGTATCTAAGTTGCCCCATCAGTAAATTGCGAGGGGAGGGTGGCAAGCTGGGGGAAAGTGGATCATATTAAAAAGTCTCTGTCAGTCTCAAACTTTTTAGATTCTAAGAATAACAACATTTCTAAGTTGTAAGAGCGATTTATATGTTCTGGACTGTTACAAGTCTCTTATCAAACATGAGTTTTAAAATGTATTCACCCATTTTGTAGGTTGTCCTCTCATTTTCTTGATTGGTATTGTTTGCAGAACAAAAGTTTTTAATTTTGATGTAGTCAATTATACTCATTTCTTTGTCACTTATATTTTTGGCCCCCATTCTATACAGAGAAAGACTGATACTCTGCAATATACAGTCGCCTTGGGCAGTCACTCGTGTGGAAGAGCAATCACTATGTGCATGCTGAGGTCACACTCCCAAGAGCAGATGGCTCACTAGGTGTGATAGCTAATTCTATGTATCAGCTTGCCTGGTCACAGGATACACATTATTTCTGGGTGTGTCTGTGAGGGTGTTTCCATATGGGGTTAGCATTTGAATCTGTGGATTCAGTAAAGTAGACCCCCAATGTTGGGCGGGCATCATCCAATCACTGAGAGCCTGAATAAAACAAAAGGTGGAGGAAGGAGGAATTTGCCTCCCCCCCCCCACTTTCTTCTGCCTCACTGTTGAGCTGTGAAGTCTCATCTCATCCTCTCCTGCCCCCTTGGACTGGGATTTACACCACTTCCCCCTCCCTTAGTTCTCAGACCTTCGGACTCAGGCTGAATTATACCACCAGCTTTCCTGGGTCTCCAGCTTGCAGTCAGCAGGTCATGGGACCCCTCAGCTTCCACAATCAATCAATCTATCATCTATCTATCTATCTATCTATCTATCTATCTATCTATCTATCTACCTATCTACCTATCTATGGGACCCCTCAGCTTCCATAATCTGTCTATCTATGAATGAATGAATTGACTGTTGGTTCTCTTGGTCCTACTTCTCTGGAGAACACTAACTAAAACATATTTGATACCAGGAGTGGTTCTAGAGGAACAGAATTTAACTTAATTTTTATTTTTTAATTTGTTTAAGATTTTATTTATTTTTTGACAGAGAGACAGCAAGAGAGGGAACACAAGCGGGGGGAGAGGGAGAAGCAGGCTTCCTGCCGAGCAGGGAGCCCGATGCAGGGCTCAATCCCAGGACCCTGGGACCATGACCTGAGCCGAAGGCAGACACTTAACGACTGAGCCACCCAGGCACCCCTAGAGGAACAGAATTTTAGAGATGAGTTCTCTGAATCTATTCTCGGGTTTCTGGAATTGGTTTTCAAACCTGATTAGATTTAAAGATGCTCATGTCTGTTTCTAGGAGTAAAGAGAACACTGATAGCCCATGTCGTGAGCTGATAGAGATAAGCAAAATATCTGCATTGGATACTCCTAATCAACCACTTATAAGAAACAAGGAGCTAGGTGACTCTGTATATGATACTTTTGAACATTTTTTTGAAAACTAACAAATACAGTGACATTGGTTGGTAGCTCCTAATGTGGCTGGACAATGTGGTGAAAGGAAAGGATGAACTCAGGGATTTGACTTCCCAGTTCAAACACCACATAACTGGCTTAGGAGCTTCTATGTGTGCTCTGAAAGAAACCCTTACATTCTATAGCCACAGAGCCAAAACTGCTAAAAATTCAAATGCAGAACCTCATGTGCAACTACCTGAATTACAATGCAAGTTGAACCTCCAGACTTGAAGGGTGTCTACTCTTAAACTGAGGCTTTAATTGGGAAAGAATGGGATCCATAAATTAAGATGGAGAGGACATGTGGGAATACACTACTGAAGCTGGGGGCATTGAGCCCCTAAATTGTGATGAGTCTTTCCCAGTGGAAGTGGCCTCCCCACCTCCATGTGAGGGGATTCACTACACATTGCCCAAGGAAACCATAATGGCCTCCTCTGAGGAGATTCTCTTCAGGACCTACCCCCCCACACACTTCTTTGCTTCTAGACGTATAAGTAGACTCAAATCCCAGTAGGCCCCTACAGGCAAAGTACAAAGTGTGACCTGTGAGGAGGTATGTTCCACTCCAAAAGAATGAGTTGAGTTTTCCAATTTATCCAGACAGAAATTCAGGGAACATGTGTGGGAATGGATACCGAGGGTGTGGGATAATGGTGGAAGGGACATAAAGTTGGATCAGGCCAAATTTATTGACATGGGCTCGCTAAGCAGAGATCCTGACTTTAATACTGCATCTCCAGGAATTAGAAAGGTCTCAAATGGTTTGATTGTTTGGACTTAAAAGTGGCTCACCATGAACAAATTAGAAATGCTGAACCTGCCTTGGTTTAATATAGACGAAGGGATCAAAAGGCGTAGCAGGGCTGGAATGTTAGAGTGGATTTGTCATTTAAGACCTGCTCACTCACCCTGGGAGGGTCCAGAAGATATCTTTCACCAATAGTGTGAGGAATAAATTTGTGAAGGGAGCACCAGCATCCTCGAAGAGTTCTGTGGTTGCTCTTCTCTATGGGTCAGACCTCATAGTGGGAACTGCAGTCACCGAATTGGGAAACCTAAATGCAATGGTAGTAATTGGGTCCTAGTGTGGCAGGGGCCAGTGGATGGCACTTAATCACCAAAGGCAGGGAGTGACTAAGGTTTCTATAATGGACAGCAGAGGTAAAGCAGCAATCAGAATGGCCTGACTCATGCAAACACTATGGTATTGCCTAATTGAGCATGAAGTGACTAGAAGTGAAATAGGAAGCCTAGTAAATTCCTAATTGATCTATAGAAGCAGAAACAACTAGATCAAGTGAACGAAAGTCTAAAGTCTAACCTGAATCATGAAAAACAGAAAGTCATGGCCCCTCAATCAATTTCCAGACTTAAGCCAGTTTACAGACCCAGATCCACTTGAAGGAAGGGGAGGCCAGGTCCCCTTCAGGAAGGATCTTGGCACACTGCTGAAAATTTATAACTCTTCGTCTTTCTTTCTCCCAGCCTTCCCCAAAGGGACTTATGGCCTTTTGCGAAGGTAATAGTACATTGAGAAATAATCCATCTTTTCAGGGACTACTGGACACTGGCTCTGAACTGATGCTAATTCTAGGAGGACCCAAAACGTCACTCTGGCCCTCTAGTCAGAGTAGGAGCTTATGGAGGTCAGGTGATTCATGGAGTTCTAGCTGCCCTCTGATTCACAGTGGGCCCAGTGGGTTCCTAAATGTATCCTGTGGTTATGTCCCCAGCTCCAGAATGCATTACTGAAATAGACAATCTTTGCAGCCACACGTGGTTTCTGTGACCTGTGGAGTGAGGGTCAAGTGGAAGCCACTAGAACTGCTTCTACCTAGAAAAATAGTAAGCCAAAAGCAATACCACATTCATGGAGGGATTACAGAATTTAGTGCCACCATCAAGGACTTGAAAGATGCAGGGGTGGTGATTCCCGCCACATCCCCATTCAACTCTCCTATTTGGCCTATGCAGAAGACAGATGAATCTTAGACGATGACAGTACATTATCATAAACTCAACCAGGTGCTGACTCCAACTGCAGCTGCTGTACCAGATGTAGTTTCATTGCTTGAGCAAATAAACACCTCCCTTGGTACCTGGTATGCAGCTATTTTTTTTTAAAGACTTTATTTATTTGAGAGAGACAGAGTGAGAGCACAAGCGGGGGAGGGGGGTCAGAGGGAGAGGTATAAGCAGACTCCCCACTGAGCAGGGAGCCCGACACGGGGCTCGACTCCAGGACCCTGAGACTATGACCCAAGCTGAAGGCAGACGCTTAACTGACTGAGCTACCCAGGTGCCCCGGTATTAATCTGGCAAATGTCTTTTTCTCCATCCCTGTTGTAAGACCCACCAGAATCAGTTTGTTTTCACCTCACAAGGCCAGTAATATATCTTCACTGTTCTACCTCAGGGGTATATCAACTCTCCAGCCCTGTGTCATAATTTAGTTTGCAGGGATCTTGAGTATCTTTCCCCTCCACAAGATTTCACACGGCCCATTAAGTTGATGACATGCTGATTGGACCTAGTGACCAAGAAGTAGTAACTGCTCTACACTTATTGGTAAGTGTATGTATACACTGTATGTCAGAGTTTGGGAAATAAATCCAACAAGAATTTGGGGCCCTTCTTAGTGAAATTCCTACAAGTCCAGTGGTGTGGGGCACATCCAGATATCCCTTCTAAGGTGAACAATACATTGTTGCATCTGGCCCCTCTTATACCAAAAAAAGAGTCACAACACCTACTGGACCTCTTTGGATTTTGGAGGCAACATATTCCTCATTCCTCCAACATACTCCAGCCCTTTTACTGAGTGACCTGAAAAGCTGCTAGTTTTGAGTGGGGCCCAGAACAAGAGAAGGCTCTGCAACAGGTCCAGGTTGCTGTGCAGTCTACTCTGCCACGCGATCCAGCAGGTCCAGTGGTGCTTGAGGTATCCGTGGCAGGTAAGGATGCTATTTGGAGCCTTTGGCAGGACCCTAGAAGTGAATCATAGCATAGGCCTTTAGGATTTTGGAGCAAGGCCCTGCACCATCTGTTCTCCTTTGGAGAAACAACTCTTGGCCTGTTACTGGGCCTTAATAGAGGCTGAACACCTGACACCAGGCCACCGAGTTACCATGCGATTAGAGCTGCCCGTCATAAATTGGGTGTTAGCTGACCCACCAAGCCATAAAGTTGGGCATGGACATCATCAAATGGAAGTGTTATATATGTAACCAGGCTTGAGCAGACCTTGAAGTCATGAGGAAGTGAAAAGAGAAAAAGTGGCCCGGAGTACCTGGCTGGCTCAGTCGGAAGAGCATGAGACTCTTGACCTTGGGGTTGTGAGTTCCAGCCCTATGAGGGGTGTAGAGATCACTTAAATAAAATAAATAAACTTAAAAAAATTTTTTTAGGTGAAAAAGTGGCCCAAATGGCCATGGTCCCCACCCCTACTACACTGCTCCCCTCTCCCAGCCTGCACCTATGGCCTCATGAGGAGTTCCCTATGATCAATTGACAGAGGAGGAGAAGACTTGAGCCTGGCTTACAGATGGTTCTGCACAACATGCAGGCACCACCCCAAAGTGGACAGCGATAGCACTACAGCTCCACTCTGGGACGTCCTCTGAGACAGTGGTGAAGGGGGAGCCTCCCAGTGGGCAGAGATCCCAGCAGTGCACCTAGTTGTTCACTGTTCTTGGAAGGAGAAATAGCCAGACATGCAATTATATACCAACCAATGGGCTCTGGCCAGTGGTTTGGCTAGATGGTGCGGGATTTGGAAAGAGCATGATTGGAGAATTGATGACAAAGAAGCTTTGGAGAGAACTTTCCAGATGGGCAAAAAGCATGCAGGTATCTTGTCCCATGTGAATGCTCACCAAAGAGCAACCTCAGCAGAGGAGGATTTTCATAATCAAATGGGTAGGATGACCCATTCTGTGGATTCCAGTCAGCCTCTTCGCTGAGCCAGTCCTGTGTTTGTGCAGTGGCCTCATGAAAAAGTGGCCATGGTAACAGGGATGGAGGTGATGCATGGACTCAGAAACATGGACTTCCATCCACCAAAGCTGACCTGGCTACAGCCATTGAGTGCCCAATCTGCCAGCAACAGAGACCAATACTGAACTCCTGAAATGGCACCAATCTTCAGAGTGATCAGCCAGCTACCTAGTGGCAGGTTGATGACATTGGACCACTTCCATTGTGGAAAGGGCAACATTTTGTCCTTACTGGAATACACACTTACTCAGGATATGGGTTTGCCTTCCCTGCACACAATGCTTCCTTCCAAACCACCATCTGTGGACTTACAGAGTGCCTTATCCACCCTCATGGTGTTCCACACAGCATTGCTTCTGATCAAGGAACTCACTTCACAGCAAAAGAAGTGTGTCAGTGGGCCCACGCTCATAGAATTCACTGGTCTCACCATGTTTGTTCCCCACCATCCTGAAGAAGCTGCCTTGATAGAACCATGGAATGGTGTGGAATGAGTTCTGAAGACTCAGTTACAGTGCTGGCTAGGTGGCGATACCTTGCAGGGCTGGAGCAAGATTCTCCAGAAAGCTGTAATATGCTCTGAATCAACATCCAGTGAATGGTGCTCTTTCTCCCATAGCCGGGATTCATGGGTTCAGGAATCAAGGGGTGGAAATGGCACCGACTCCCTATGACCCCTAGTGACCCACCAGCAACATTTGTGCTTCTGGTTCCTGTGACCTTATGCTCTGCTGTCCTAGAGGCCTTCGTTCCAGAGGGAGGAAAGTCTTCTTTCCAACAGGAAGCACACTACTGATTCCATTGAACTGAAAGTGAAGACTGCCACCTGGCCACATTGGACTCCTCAGGCCTGTGAATCAACAGGCAAACAAGGGGGTTCCTGTGCTGGCTGGGATGATTGATCCTGATTACCAAGGGGAAACTGGACTGCTACTCCACAATGGAGGTAAGAAAGACTGTCTGGAGTGCAGGAGATATAAGGGTGTCTCTTATTATTAAGTCTCTTAGCATTATGCCCTGTGATTAAGGTCAATGGAAAACTACAACAACCCAATCCAGGCAGAACTACTAATGGCCCAGAGCCTTCAGGAATGAAGGTTGGAATCACCCCACCAGGTAAAAAACCGAGGTGGCTGCTAAAGGCAAAGAAAATACAAAATGGGTAGTGAAAGAAGGTACATATAAATACCAGCTACAACCATGTTACCAGTTACAGAAACAAGGACTGTAATTGTCATGAGTATTTCCTCCTTAGGAATATGTGTGTGTGTGTTTTATTTCCTCTCTTATTTCCTTATCATGTAACATAAGATATCTTGATTTTATATCATAGTACTTAAGTTTTGTTACTTTTATTTTATTTTTTAAAAGATTATTTATTTATTTATTTGAGAGAGAGCGAGAGAGAGAGAGAGAGAATCAACAGGGGGAGGGGCAGAGGGAGAAGCAGGCTCCCCGCTGAGCGGGGCTCAACCGGGACTCCAGGATCATGACCTGAGCCAAAGACAGATGCTTGACCAACTCAGCTAGCCAGGCGCCCCAAGTTTGGTTACTTTTAAATCATAGTACTTGCCCAGTGTGCCATGGCTGCAAACAGTAGCCTCCTTGGTAGTGTATGCAGCCTGTTGATTGTATGGGTTGCCCTAAGGGACTTTGGAGACAGCTCTTCCAGTGGACACTGAGGTCTGACCTCATGCTATCTCCAATCTAGGCTGCAGACAGGTGTGCGGGGTGCCTTTGGAAAGCCCCAGGGCACAGTAGCCAGGGTCCACATTGGCCAAGTCATCATATCCATCCGTACCAAGCTGCAGAACAAGGAGCATGTGATTGAGGTCCTACGCAGGGCCAAGTTCAAGTTCCCTGGCCGCCAGAAGATCCACATCTCCAAGAAGTGGGGCTTTACTAAGTTTAATGCGGATGAGTTTGAAGACATGGTGGCTGAAAAGCGGCTTATCCCAGATGGCTGTGGGGTCAAATACATCCCTAATCGTGGCCCCTTGGACAAATGGAGGGCTCTGCACTCATGAGAACCTCGGCACTGCCCCCTCCCGACTCATGCCCACCAATAAAACCTACTTCCTGTCAAATAGATAAATAAATAAATAAATAAATAAATCATAGTACTTAAGCTATGGGGTATCAAGAAGAAGAACAAATATCATCACTCAAGGACTCTAATTCCTCTTCTGGGGAAGGCGTTAGTGCATTTTTTACTTTATCCAGGATAGTTGTATCATGTTAGTGGGAATTATGACCTTGTTATTGTCTTTACTTGAGATTAAGTATGGTTTAAGGGTATGTGTATGGGTGTCAATTTGACACCAACTTGTGATGACCCTTGTGATGTGTGATGTGTGACCCATCTTGTGATGGTTAATTTTGTATCAACTTGACTGGCAATGGGGTGTCCAGATTAAACGTTATTTCTGGGTGTGTCTATGAGGGTATTTCCAGATGAGAGTAGCATCTGAATTGGTGGACTCAGTAAAGTAGTTTGCCCTCCCCAGTGTGGGTGGGCATTATCTAATCTGTTGAGAGCCTGAATAGGACAAAAGGCAGAAGGAAGAGAAACTTAAACACCTTTTTTCTGTCTCACTGCTGGAGCTGAGACCTCTCATCACACATTCTCCTGCCTTTGGACCTGGATTTACATCATCAGCTCTCCTGGTTCTCAGGCCTTCAGACTTGAACTGAATCATACCACTGGCTTTCCTGGGTGTCCAGGATGCAAATAGCATATGGTGGGGCTTCTCAGCCTCCATAGTCATGTGAACTAATTCCAGAAACATTGTTTCTGTCTCTCTTTTTTCTGTTTCCTCATTCATTGTTTCTGTTTCTCTGGAGAACCCTGATTAATACACTAGGACACTTACAAAATGCTGCTGCTGCTGCCTCTTTGACCAAAAAGATCCTAATCCTCATTTGTAGGGCTCCCCTATGGCACAGCCAAGGGATTAATTCAACCATGGCCGTGGGAGAGGCCTGTAACACTAATGGTACTAATCTGAGGCTTCCTGGAAGAAGAAACTTACAAATATGAGCAGGGTATATAGGCCTCCCCAAAGTATATCCACACACACCCTGGGAAAGTTGCCTGATGGTTGCCAAGTAGTGAATGGTCTTAAGGCCATTGTTGGGAAGTGGGATGATAAACATCTCTGCTGAGACTTATATAGAACCTCATTTGCTTGGAGAAATTTTAGGTAAGACATAACAAGGTAAGGAGGAAGTTTAGGTAAGACAAAAACAAGGTAGTGATGGAAGGTGGGGGAGAACAGAACAAACCACTCAGTAGGGTGGTCATGGGGAAGAACTGGGAGGAAACACCCTCTCTCTGCCATGTGATCCACCACAAATGAATCAAGGGAGATGGGGAAAGGCAAAAGGTCACTTTAGGAAGGCTCTTCAGGGGGAGTTAAGGTAACTTCCCCTTATTCTAACAAGATAATTTGGACCTCCCTCACATTTTACTCCCCTCTCCCTGCCCCCAGATGGGTTGGGCTGGTGCATTGTGATGTCTGTCTGAGTCACCACAGGCCTACCACTGGCTAGGAGGAGTTTCTTACTGACTAAACAAAGCTGAAGAGTATGCCTCTTCATTGTCCTAGAGAAAGTATATATAGGGAGATCAGGAAAACTGTTGGTCAAGCCACTGTTGACTTAGACTTAGCAGAGGTGAATGGGGAACCACAAGAGCCCAGCACAGATTCAGAACCACCAGTCGCAAGCATTAACCAGCTAACTACAAGCAACAGACAGAGGATGAATCAGAAGAACCCCCATCAACCCAAAACTGAAGACATTGAAAAGGTCAGATCACACAACCCATGGTCCTTCTCTACATCCTCATCTACCACGCCCCCAAGACTCCTACCTGTCCTTGTCTGGGACAAACCCCCTCCCCAGCCCACACCCCTTTTATAAATCCACCCTTCCCATGCACCCCCCCATCCACTGCTTCCAAACTCTTTCCCTACCAGTTGAAGCAGATCATCAAGAGGATAAAATTAGCCCTTCAACAGAGTTCAAGAAATCCAAAGACAACAAAAAGGCAGAAAGTATTAGTCTGTTACCAGAGGGCACATAAAAAGAAGAATCTAAATAAAGCAGTCCAAGAACAAAAGAACCTGGACAACTCTGCCTCTGCAAGTAATGTCTCATGCATAGTAGAGCCCAAGACCAACAACTCTTCTTGGCATCCCCAGTGGAAGTTCTGAAAAACAGCCAACCCGTAAGGAATAAACCTTACACCAAAAGGTACACCAATGGTGACAATTAATAAAAGGAACACATTTTGAAAATGATGTATGTATGTGTCTTTGTGAGTTCTCTGATGGTAGGGAGGTTGGAAGATAGGGAAGAAGCAGGTTGTGAGGAGAGAGGTTGTAAAGTCCAGGAGGGCTGGGGGTCAGACTGGCAAATTGACAGTTACACAGTCATTGGGTACAAAGACTGGGTCATGGCTGAGCACTGAAGACAGATTTCCTTCCTTGATACTTTAACCCACAGGCAAGGAAGAAAAAAAAACTTGGTGTTTATGTGTGGGGGAAGGGGGGAGTAGGGCAGGATGGGAAAAAGAGAGGGGGATGACATAAAAGTTTAGATTGCCAGAACCCAGATGGGGAGACATGTGATGTGAGGGAGAGGGTGGAAGTATGTGATAAAAAGTCTGATGCTGTTTTTTGATGTTTGACTGCTGACAGCTTTCAAGCTCCACTCTTCCCCCTCCTTCTGCCCCACATTTAAGTAAGCTGATAAGGAACTCTGAAATTTGAGCCACACAAGCCCTAGCCCATGTACAGGAACACTTACCCCAGGCCCAGCCCCTAACTACCTTAAAATCCCAAGCCAGTCTCCTTTCCCAGCTCTCTCAAACCAGTCTTGGTCTTGCTTGGGAGCCATCCCAGGTCTCCCCAGAAAGCCTCATTATGTGAGTAACAAACCATTCATTCCCTATTGGTGCTCATACAGCAGCATCAGATGCAGCATCCAAACCTAATTTGGGATGTGTGGGCGAGTCTATCTTACTCCTGTGGGGTGACCACAACAAACTCACATACTTCACAGAAGCTTAATTATGGAATATATTTGGCACTTTACCAAAGATACCAGTATTTCGGGAAATATGTCTTCAGTGCCTAATTAGTGTCAGATATAGTTGTAGGCCCTGGGCTTACAGTGTAGAACAAGAAGTCCAAAGTTCCTGCCATCAGGAGTTGATGTTTTCCTGGGTCAGCGGGTAGTTGAAAGTGGGGAGAGAGGAGAGGAGCTGGGGAGACAGCTGCCATAGCTGTGGGCTGTGGGGAAACCTCCGAGGAGTTGACATTTGAGTTGAGACCTGAACAACAAGATGGAGTGGGTCGTATGGAGATTTCAAAGAAGAGGACTTTAGGAAGAAGAAACAGCAAGTAGCAATATCATGAGGTAAGAACAAAGCAGCATGTTGAGCAGCAAGAAGGCCAGTGTAACTCGAGCACAGTGGAGGGGGGGCAGAATGGAAACAAATGAGTGAAACCTGAGGGGTCAGCACAGATGAGCGTGCATAGGGCTTTGCTAATAAATGTGCACTGTATTATTAAGGAGAAATTTTAAAACAGAGCTACAAAATAAACAGAAAGAAACATTGGTCTGGATTCAAACCCAGCTCTGAAACGTCCTATCTACCTGTTGTCTCAAGAAAGTCACTCAATTTATGTGAGCCTGTGTTTCCACATTTGTGAAAAGCTGATAATGTCAACATCACAAAACTTTCAGGAGAATTAAGTTAGATACAGTGACTGGCGTATAGTCAGAAGTCAGCGAATGATAGTTATGTTGGTTATTAATTACCACTCTCTGAAATGCTTTTGCCTTGAACACACTTGGGAATGCTCATAGCCAAATTGCCTTGTACATCATGGCTCACTTTGGCCTTGTGTCATTGAAAGGTTTAAAACTACCTTTCCAGGAAGTAGGCCTCAAAGATATTATCAATCAGAGAGAGTGATTCTGAACTGAGCATCAAAGGACAGGCTAAGGTGGCTTAGATACAACTCAGGCAAAAACTCCTCCTTTTGCAGGCAGGGCAAACAAGGACACCTGCTAGAAGTTCCTGCTTCTAGAAAACATGACAAAGATATCAGTTAATCAGTGTGATGATTTAGGGACAAGCATGGTTGAGGCTCTGACTCTCCAGTGAATATATGGGACAAACATTTTGCTCAATGCAGCCCAGGGTAAATAACCCAGAGGGCCCCAACTTGGGTCTCCCTCATGCCCCAAATCCTTTCAATGGCAGAATTGGTAACCTCCTACTAAAAACTTGCAGCCAATGCTAAGTGCCCTTACAGATCATTTCCCATTTGATAGAAAGGGGTAATAACATGCCAGGTGGTTCTTTTATTTGACAAATGCCATTGCTTTTACTCTGTGCCTGTAAATTTCCTAAGGGATTTCCACATATCAATACATTTAATTTACACAATAGCTTGAGACAAAGGTACTAATAGAAACACTGTTCTATAGAGGAGGAATCTGAATTTCTATGTTTTATACATTATTTTAGAGTCTACAGAAATGATGGAAATGTCTCCATCTCACTCCGTGAAAATCCTCACTCATCCTGTTGGAATTGGGTCAGCTGTTTCTCTCAAGATTCATGTCTTTATTCAGTTCTCTGACTTTTTTGTTAATGTCTTCCCTTGTCTTTCCTTTATGGTGATCACTAAAGGATAGATGCTGACAATTCTGGATCTGTCATAAATGTTTCCATTTTCCTCACATCCTTCTCATTCATTCTCCCTTTTGTATTGCATGTTTGGAAAATCACATGGTTTCATTCTTTGGTTCAATTGAGTATGTGTCAGATAAATACTTTGCCACTTATTCCACTTGAAAATTTGTTTTTTTATTTCAACTGTAATATTATTAAGTTCAGATTTGGACTTGTTCTTTCCTATACCAACCTATTTTGTTTCATGGATGTAGCATCCCCTAATCCCTGTTAATACTCCTATTTTCTATGGGATACTATCTCTTTGCTCCTAATAAACCCTAAGCTGTACACTTCCCTTCTGGAAATTGGTTTAAATCATATTTTTTTCTTTTA